AGACCGCTTCTTCGTCTTCTTCCCCTCCGCCTTCATCGCGTTTCGGTGGGGCCGAATCGGCTACTGGTTCTTGGGTTTCCGTAGAGGAGTTGTTGTCTTTGTGATCTTTATGGCCATTGGCGGACTTGGAAGAGTGTGCTGCTTTACCCTGAGCATCGGCTGACTCCAGGCGTGCTTTGAATGCGTTTAGCATCTTGAGCGCTTTAGCTTCGTCATGCGCATTGGATTCGCCTGGACGAGGCCGTTTGCGACCTCTCGTGCTTGTTGCCGGGATCAACGATTCTAACGCTGACTTCTTGGTCTTGGAGCCACTGGCATTGTTGTCCACATTCCGGCGCATGGACGCTTTCAAGGCAGCGATCTCGGCTTCTAGTGCAGAAGTTTTGGACGCTGCCGGTTGTTCTTCTGGTGTTGGAGATCGAGACGGCGATTCTGGATCACGAAGAGGGAGTTGAGTCAGTGGGTCGTGGAACGATGGCTTCCGCCGCTGTACCGGCGACGGAGATTTTGTTGAACTTGCGACACTTGCTTTGCGCTTTTGCGGAACTGTAGGTGAAGGTGATCTTCGTTGTGGTTTCTCGAGCGACTGAGGTTTAGGCGCTGTGCCGTTCGCCTGTGGCTTTGGCTTCGATTCGGGCACATCATCACTATCGATCAAGGCCGGGTTAAATTTAGGTTTCTTTGGTCGCACAGCGACTGGACCGACATCGTCCTCGCCTTCATCCCCGGCAAAGCTGAGCAGCGTCTTCCCACCCTTCTTTTTCGCAGCCTTTTTCTTTGCAGGAGCTTCGACAGTACGCTCTGCGACTTTGTTCCTTTTCCGCATCTTCTGCCATGCGTCACCTTTTGGCATCTCGATGATTTCAACCCTGAGAATCTTCTCGGGATACATTGGTCTTTCACTGCCCTCCAGCAGCTCGCCTTCCGCGATTTTGACCACGTTGTAAATACCGTCGCCCTCGACCCGGCCAAACATGGTGCACTTGCCGTCTAGTTGAGCCCTACAATCTCCGAGCGTGATGAAGAACTGACTGCCATATCCCGCGCCGTCCCCGGTGCCTTTGGCCATACCAACCAGCCCCCTCCTGTTGAACCGCAGCCTGCTGTGGATTTCATCTCCAAAATTAATCTTCTCTCCCTCCTCCCGGCCCATCAGCCGTGCCCAGTCTTCGTCGTATCGCTCAAATTCCCTGTCCTCGTATATGTGTTGTCCACCTTCGCCGGTGCCGGTGGGGTCGCCCGTCTGAATGACGAAGCCTGGGGAGACACGATGGAAGATGTTGTTGTTGTAGTCCTCGTCGAGAACATGCTGCAAGAAGTTCCTGCATGTCAGGGGTGTTTGGTTCGCAAACAGAGATATTGTGAGAGGGCCAGCGGTGGTATGGACAAGAACTGAGGCAGTTGGGGGAGGTTCGGTCGTGTAATGCGAAGACATGGCGGCGTGTTATACGGAGGTGGTCGTCTTATCTGAGTCGCTGCATTGTGGAACCGAAGACTGGACTTCTATACAAGGTAAAAGTGCCTGGGTTGTTTTCCAGCCTTCGAGGTCGAGGTGCATCTGGAAAATACGTCAAGGTCACAAACATATTTACACTGTTTGCTGCATTTGCTGCATTTGCTTGGGGGGCTTCTTGTGCTTGGCGAGTTTGTCCCTTTTCCTAAACCATACAATCTAAAAATGGATCATAAGTCTATTTGAGAGCACTCGGTGAAGAATCTCCTCATATTCGGCATTCCTCGATCTTAGGTCGGAGCTTCTTGTTGGTATTAACTTATGTGAGGAAGCTCGTTTCCATGTCTTGTACGGTACATCGTGGTATGTGGCAATGGTGACAGACCCTGTCGCTCTGAAAATGCACATGGTATGATGGACAGCATGGAACTGGGATAACCAAAATCGCGGCTATCCAAAGGCTGGAGTTCAGACGCTTGATGAGTGCACTAAGCTATTTTCATTCGATACTAAAACGGGGAGACTAGGGACTCCCAATTCCAATTCAGTCGTCAGCAATCGTACTCGACCCTCCGCCCTCAATCTCACTCAGCACCCTCGTCCCCAATACATTGCCATTGGCATCCTGATATATAGCAGCGATGGAGCTAAAGCCATTGAACGGCGTGTACGAATACTCCACTTCCTTTGCGTTTTCCCCGTTGAAAAGAACGGCCCGCTCGTGCCCCGTAAAGGTCATGTCATGCCAGAACGATCCGACCACCTGGGACGAGAAGACAGATCCATCGTTGTGGAGTTTCTGGTCCACGATGTTGCCGGCCTGGTCGAGGATTCGATTTGTGTGCGTGTTGCCACTGTAGTCGTTGATTGAATAGAGGATACCCTCGTCGAGAAGCGCTGAGCGGGCAGACAGGCCGCTCGTTGCCGACGATGGGCTACTGCTGCTGGTGCTACTACCGCCTAGAGCACCGCCGACCAGGTTGCCGACATCAGACCCCAGAGTAGCAATCACAGGGTTCAGGTCGATTGAGTTGAGCGTGTCGTTGATCATCAACACCAGATTCTCCAGCCGGGCCTCGAGTTCGACCTTCGCGGACACGTTCTGAATGGTCAACTGCACGGAGTTGATGCTCAGATCGACGCCAGCATTGAATTGAAGGAGGGAGAGTACTTGGGCATCGATGTTGATTTTTGCGGATAGGTTCTTCACGGTGATGTCGATCTCGCCGACCGAGACGCTGGCATTGAGAAAGACGTCAGGTGGAGGACTGGTGTTGGTAACAGCACCATTCGAAGTGTCGGTCTCCTCGGTCTCGTAGACTGCAGATTCAGTGTCGTTGCCAGTCACACTGAGCGAGTAGCCGGTATAGCCATCGCTGGACGAGACTGACTGTGAAAAACTGGATCGGGCGAGTGCGAGCAGCAACGAGCAGAAGAGTGTGAGAATCATGACAATGAGCACGGCAAAGTGGCTAGAGGGGCGTCATGAAGGGAATAGAGACGATACTCGAAAAGTTGGAGAGACCCGACGCTCCTCTTCAAAGAGTTACAGAAGTCGTAAGGAAGTCTATCGAGTACCTCCGTTCCGTATACAAACACCTGCAGCAAACCCTTTGGACGAGGCCAATTTCCACGCTCACTCCGTCTTTGAATTTCTCGAGAGTCACTTTAGCCATCCCATTTGGCATTTCCAGAAGCCGATTCGAGCGGACATGGGAAAAGTCCTGTTTTCGCATGGGCTAGTCCAGGGGAAACCATGGCTGTCCCACACCTGCAATCTCGGCAGATCAGCCCTATACCACAATGGACCGTTGAAACATGGAGAGCCATGCGCAAAACCGGTTGGAGACGGCGCCATCTGCAGGGATCTGCGCAGATCATCCACACGTCTTTGGTCCAGTGTAAGACTCGTCCAGCCGACATGTCCCAAGGGATCGAATAATTTTTCTCCTGAACATGGGAGATTTCGCGATTTGGCGATACTTTGCTCGAGAAATTGGCCATGCGCCAGAATCGTCGGAGTTTCTCCATGAAAGAGGGAAGGAAAGTTGGTGGGTTCGATGATATAGAGGAGGGGATGGCCGTCGATTCCCGCCTATTCCTCTACCTGCTCTACCGTCAGATGAGAACATAATGGCGCGCTCAATATTCCGGCTTCTCACGCTCTTCTCCTCGCTTCTGTTGAACCAGCAGATCCTGGCACAAACGACCACCTCGTCGACGCCGCAGGGGACCGTCAGCACAACACCATCGTCGAATTCGCCGACCCTGACGCCGAGTCCAGCCTCTGCCTCCTCCACTCCTCCAGACGTCTACCTAAACGTACCAACACTCTCCGTTGGTCGGATTGAGCTCGACGTTGACGACCTCCGGGCAGACATCAATCTGAATGCCCAGGTGGCGTCCCTTGTCACGCTGAATGCCGGTGTCGCGCTGTCCATTCAAGAAGTCAACCTCACCATTTCCGACGTCGATGCCCAGCTTGAATTGATCGTCCGTCTGGGCCATCTCGTCGACATTGTGAACCGAGTCTTTGAATCCTTGGACCTCAACCCTCTCTTGATCTCCGCCATCAACAACGTCACCTCGTTGCTGGAGCCCATTGTGGGCGCTGTGGACGGCCTCCTCGGCTCCATCACCCAAGGCGGAACGACGCTGTCATTCTTGATCGACAACCTCGGCAACATCGTCCAGGAGGTCGGCGGCGTCAGCACCATTGTCGGAAATTACCTCACCAACATGACCGACACGGGAGTCAGTCAAACCCTCTCCGGCGGTCTTGTCGAGAAGACATTTTCATATGCTCCGCTCAATGCGCTGGTCGACATTGTCTTCAACTCAGCCGGGCAGGTTGTCCAGGCGTCCGTTCAGAAGCAGAGTGGGGGTGGCGGCACAACAAGTTCGACGTCAGGGTCAAGTACCACGCCGACGCCGTCATCATCCACCAGCAGGTAGCAATCACAGTCGCAGTCGCACAGCACCGGGCCACAGACGCCGCCGACTAAGACGACAAGAATTAGAAAATCAGTGGTCCCGAGGCCGACGAGACAGCCCGGTCGAGGTGGCCATCGGTTCTGATTTTGTGCGGTGACTGGTAAAGGGAGGTCTTAATGTCGTATCTTCTGACCAGAAGAGGGGATCAACGACTGTAAAGGTCCTGGACGATCCCCTGACGAGAGTTGCACTCGAACGGCGTACTTAGAAGCCGGTTCCCTCGTACTTTGTCGGACACGTCGGGGTATCCACATGTACCATTTATATAGTTTGACCGCATATACGGGGGTACATAGAGCGAACAAAGCTTAGCTTCTACATGCTCTCTCCACTATTCTATTTTCTGCATTGATTCCCAGGGATCTACAGACTTGTATACCTAGATCGCTAAGCGGCCTACTTACTGTAGTACCTTACCACACTTCCCCTCCTTGCTTGTCGACACGATTATACGAGGGCATCAAAGACAAGCCGGAGTTTCATGTTCGTCGACTGAGCTCTTTCGATATGAAAATTCTGCTCTTCTCAAAAGAACCATACACGCACTCGGACCCTAATCCAGAGTCACTTCCACCCCCTCCAACGGCCGACTGGTCTTCCACTCGTCCAGCTCGCGCAGGAAATCAAGAAATCCTTTGGACCAGAACCCGGCTCGGGCCAAGTTCTTGAGGGTCTCGGGACTCTCCTGCGCCTTGCGCGTCAAGTCTCCCTCGCGGTTGAAGTAGCTGGGCAGACAGTCGGCGGCGGCGGTGAAGGCGATGGCGCCCGCGGCGATCTTCTGGCTCCACGCCTCTTCGGCCTCGACGGTCGGCTCGATCGTGAAGGCCCGGGAACCCCCGTGGTCGCGGGCCGCGCGTTGCAGGATCCAGGCAATGTGCTGGGCGACGTGGTCGACCGTCAGCGATTGGCTGGGGATGCCGCCGATCTGCGACAGGCCCGGGAAGAACAGGTTGGGGAAGCCGTTGCTCATGCAGCCGTGCAGGGTGGCGAGACGGTGGGCCCATTTGTCGTCGAGGTCAACGCCGTTCCGGCCCGTGACCTTGACCGACGAGCGTCCCGCAGGGCTCATGCCAATGGCGATGTCGTAGCCGGTGCTGAAGATGATGACGTCGACGGGATATTCCTTGCCGTCAAAATACACGCCGTTCTCGGTGAGTGTGTCGATGCCGCGGCCGTCGGTGTGGACAAGTTTGACGTTGGGCTCGTTGAACGACTGGAGATACTCGTCGTGGAAGCAAGGTCGCTTGCACCAACTGGGATACCACGCCTTGAGATCGGCGGCGGTTGCTTTGTCTTTCACAATCTCGTCCACCCGAGCTCGGACCCGCTCCTGTCGCGGCAGGTCGACGGCATGTAACCGTCTCACGTAAGCCTCGACCTGTTCAGGCGAGGTGGGCGCGTCCTCGCAGCCCACCATGGCCGTGTACGATCTGAAATGGGTCCAGCCATCGTCGACGAGGTTCGTTTCCGGTAGCGGACCCAGGCTGAAGAAGCTGGCAAAGTTGAGAAGACGTTCTTCCTGCCAACCCTTTACGCCTCGGACCTTTTCTTCCCACCAGGTCGGATCGGTGGCGCACTGACCCCGGACGTCTACACCGGAGGGTGTCCTTTGAAATACGTAGAGCTGCTTCGCCCACTTCGCCAACTCGGGCACCACTTGGATAGCTGTGGCGCCCGTGCCGATGATGGCCACTGACTTGTCACGGAGTGTTGCAAGACGTTCAACCGAATGAGTCTCGACACTAGCCCACAACTAGGAAAAGGAATTGGTTGCCGCAATGGCAGATTGGTTTGGTTTGTTGAGCTCTTTTCTGTCTGAAGGGAGAGAAGGAGGAAGAGTCCTAGTGACTCGATCTACCTGAATAAAAGAGGGGAGAATAAAGATCGGGCTAGTTCCAACCTGGCCTAGCGCCACACGTGACACGGAGGTTGGTGAGGTCTGGCTCCTCTTCCGTCCCACCGGTGTACCTGTAGTCCCATCTTGCCGTGTGGAACATGTGGCCTTTGTATTCTTCCAGGTTCTTGAGTCGTGGAACTTTCGGCAGGTTGACGGGGCCTCCGGCGAGGACGACGAAGCGAGAGTGGACGGTCATTTCTCTTCCCACCTCCCCGTTCTTGGTGGAGACAACCTTCGTGGTCCATCGTTTGGTGGATTCATCCCATGTGGTACTGTGCAGTCTGGCCTGGAAGAGTGCCTTGTCGACCAAGTCGCAACGCTCCGCCATTCTCTCCGCGTGTCTCCGTAGTTCCGGGCTGTAAGAGTATTTGTGCTTGGGCATGTAATCCAGCTCTTCCAACAGCGGGAGATAGATGTAACTTTCTACGTCGCACATGAGTCCGGGATACCTAGCGATTGTGATCAGAATGACAAAGCCCATGTCTTTCCCCCCAAAGTGCAAAGAAAGAGGGGCCAAGTGTGCTACCTGTTGAACCACCAAGTGCCTCCGAATCCACCAGCAGAGTCTACTAGCCGGATGTCATTTGCGTCGACCCCAATCTGTCTCAGACGGGCGGCCATGGAGAGGCCGGCGTATCCTGCCCCTAGGATGAGGAATTCGTGGTAGGACCCATCCTGTACCGAGTCACGACCCGGGTCTGGGAGACTGTCGTCCACCCAGATGTCCTTGAAGAATTCCCGGTACGACTCGGCCAGCGGGGAGAATACATATTGGGACTGGCCATCAGACCGGATACGCTTTGTGCGTTCAACCCTGTATTTCTCTAGGACGGCCTCAGCTCCCGGGTCTTTGAGGTGGACGCCATTGATGAGCGACGCAGGCACTGCCGGCACCGGTACAATCGAGGCCATTGTCGCAAGCTATATGTTCTGCACAAGTTGTGTGATCTTGAACGTGTGATATCCCAAATGGCTTGATTCCTCCTGTGAGTACTGGTAGGAATTGACGACCTTCTAGGCCTCTCTGTGCACCTGCTATTGCTCGAATGCTATCTTAGAATTAGTCAAAGGGTTCACACAGTGCTAAGCAGGGTCATATTTTGACCATGTACTGTCCTAATGTAGTATCATTTTTATATCAGCATATGGGCAAAGTCATCGGGCCGAGGCTTTAGATATTCAGTCGTTGCTACCAACTATTGGGAGCAGACACGAGCCTTGGTCTACGTCTTTCAGAGTGCTTCGCCATCAAGACCTCGGCTGGTGCGATATGAGCCTTTTACTCCTCTTCGGCGGCTTGCTGAGGGGTGAGATGGTATGGGTACTGCGTAGGCCACCCCTTTTCATGCTTGAGAATGAGGAAATCCGAGGGATAGTAATGCAGTAGACACACTATCTGCGCTTTCATCCTGGACTTGGATTTGTTACCGATGTCTTGCTCCTCTGGCCACGATAACCGGGAGGTTCATGAATCCTCGGGGAGGAGCTTGAAACGACGAGAAACAGTTGTCACGGTTTAAAAGGTCTTGTTGACAAGGCTCTTTTCCTTTGTTTTTTTTTTTTTCGGTGGAGGTTGATGGTACATAGCTCCATGAAGGAGGAACGAGAGAAAATTAACAGAGGCATATGAAGGGAGATTGAAATTACAATCTCCATAAAGAACGTATATGCATACTTATGAACAACTGTCAAACGTCAGGGGCACTGATGGACGATCCAACAGAGATTCTTACACGGAGTCGCAGTGATGGGGTTAGTCGAGTAGAAGATAGCCATACAACATCAGAACAGTGACAGATCCTCCTTCCGACGTCCTTCATTTTCCCAGATTCCCTTTTTCTGTCTCCCTTCGTCTCTTATAATACGATTTCAATATAATTCTGATGATTTTGGCCCCGGGGGACTCATTTCCCACCTCTCGACACACTACAGATCCAGGACACAAGGTCCCACGGGTCTGAAATTGTCGCTCAGTCTGTTTCTTCTCCTGATTTCTCGTCACCGCTTGACGCAGTCTTCTCGTACGATACATTGTGGAGTGGTGCCACCACAACATTGGTCATTTTGTCGTCGACATTAGGAACGAAGAAGTTGCAGATCAAGCCCGACCCACTGAAGACTAGAGTTACGAAGAAGATGGTCCTGAAAGCAGACATGGCTGCCACCTTGTAGGCGTCTGTACCGATCGCGTTGATGGTCGCATTAGTTCCAGGGACAGAGTCGAGCTGTTCGGCAGAATAGCCCATCAGCCAGGCGGGAATGCTGCTTGCCGGGAGACCTGCTGCGACGAGAGCGACTGGTACTCGTCCAGAAACCTCCTCAGTGAGCCGATTCGTGACAATGGCAACGAAGATGGTCGAGGCCAAGGCTCCCACGAGTCCGCGCACGGAGCCCGCCACTCCGAATGCGACACCGATGTCCTGTTGGTCGTCGACTTCAATGGTCGACATGGTGAACGTCACAGCCTCGTTCCATGCCACACTGATGGAGCCCAAGAGCGCAAAGACCAATGCACGAGCCTCGTCTTCGGGCGAGCACGTGGCGATCACTGGAGAGACATGTCAGACAACGAAGATAGAAATGCCAGGATTGGACTCACAGGCGTAGAACAGGGCCCCCACAGACATGGCCACCAGTACCTGGATTTTTGTATGCGTCAGCCACCTAATAAAGGCAGATGAAATCATGAGGCCGCCGGCAAAGCCACCACCAACCACGGTGAAAAGCCATGCTCGAGTCATAAAATCTGCCGGCCGGAACACCATAGTCACCATCATCGGCCAGATGATGTTCAGAGCGTAGTACTGTGACGCTCCCAGCGACGCTGACAAAACGCATGCCGTGTATGTGGTCTTGCGGAAGAGCCTCATGGGGACCAGTGGTTCTGTCAATGACGCAGTGCACTCCCAAACGACGAAAGCCACCAGTGTCAAACCACCCACCACGATGGTCGCAATGACATGTGCCGATTTCCATGGGTAGACCGAACCCCCCCAACAGATTCCGATGAGAAAGATGACGAGGCCGCCAGCAAACAGGACGGAGCCGACATAGTCAAAGTTTATGATGAAGAATCCAAGGGTGTCTCGCTCATGTTTCTCGCGGAATGTTGGAGGTTTGTAGAACAGTAACAGGCACAGCAGGGATACAGCGTTGCATGCCAACATGACATAGAACATTACCCGCCAGCCCGGTGGCGTATAGAGAATGCTTGCGGCCGTGATTGCAGGTCCGAAAATGGAGATGGGAAATCCTCCAAAGTACATGATTCCGTTGACCAAGAACCGGTGCTTCAACGGCACCAGTTCGCCCAGGGCCGAGTAGAAACTGGTCTGGGTCGTACCGCCAGCTGAGCAAAGACACATGCCAGCTATCAATGCGGACACGGATTGTGCGGTCACACAGACGATGTACCCGATCAGCGAGATGGCAGAGCCTCCAACAAAAGTCCAACGCCGTCCAAAGATGTCGGAAATTCGCCCAACAAAAGTCAAACCCACAGCTTGGATGACAGTGTAGCAAATAGTGACCCAGAAGTAGTTGGGGTCAGGTCCCAGGTCGTTGTTGACGTACGTGAGATATGGTGCAATGATAGCATAGCTCCCCATCCCACACATGGCTCCGAGAAGGAAACCAACAAGACATCCGATAAAGCGTGGCTTGAGAAGATAGGAGCTGGAAGCTGAGATCGCGACATTCGGGGGCGCCGGTGCCGCTTGGGAATGACCGTGTTTTTCCATGTTGTCATCTATCTCTTGTGAAGCGTCAATATTGCTCACGCGTTCAAAACCTTCCACCGATGGCTTTTTAGTAGTTTCATCCATGATTGAAACTGGATAGCTCATGCAGAGAGGTCGGGATGGAATCCTGATGATGACGAAGGTTATATCTGATAGAGGGTAATAGGGAGGTAAACTAACCGGTCCCGACAGCAAACCTCGGGAGTCAGACAATTTATTGCAGCGGTTTGGAATCCCCAGATTTTCAATTTGTTTCAGCGATCTGGGGTAGCGGGGTCGCAAGAGCTTTTCTTCAGCTCGGTAACGTGTTGAGCTCGGGGTAGTGCAAATACGAGTAGAGAATCAGGAACCAATGGGGGTTCTTCCAGAGCCTTTGCACAGTACCACTCATCACCACGAGCTCTTATGCAGGTACAGGTACCTGCCTTGTCAAGGAGCAGCCGACCAAGCCCGCGGCCCAGGGTTGAGGAGAAGATTGAGGGACGTCGAAATAACGGAATATCTGAGAGAAGTCAACGTGATTTAGGTGTTTTCCAAAATACATATCTCATGCATTTCAACCCCTCAAAATAAGTGCTTAATGGTATGGAAACCATGGACAACATCCTGCACAGGGAGGTACTATGCTTAGAGCCTCGACTACCTGAAAGAGAGTGCTTTCAGAGCCATGTCTTCACCAAGTTTCTGGTTCCTCGGCGAAGCTGACAACATCTCGCCCTGTGCAAGACCTTCGGAACTCAGGATCATCGAAGTATAGGCTCAGGATTTTCTATATTGCCGAGGCATTCTTGCAGGGCGGGCTAGGCCCTCGTGGACGGCATTTGAGATCAAAGCTTGCATGTATTGATGCTGGTGCTTCGGTCCCATTGGCAGGGTTAGCCGGCATTGGCATCCCCGCTAGTTGGACTGAATATCCGGGGTAAACTGATGATTCAATTGGTCCCACAGGTATCATTACTATATCAAATCCAACCCCGTACAATTTGGGACCAGATATTTGGATCAGGCACACGCACCCTTTATGCAGACTGGATTTGAAAACGACGCTTGCATTGAATCAAGATAAACAAGTCGCAGTCTGCAAGAAGGAAGTAAGGAAGGAGTTGTCATTGTTATGTATAAGTAATCAAACTACTCAGATAGTTGCGCAACTACCACCGCATGAATGATCCGTTGGGAGGTGAATAGATATGTGTCGATAGGCGGAAGAACTTGATGGGGAGAAGTGCATATGTTGGTGCTCAGGTGATGACGGGATATTACTAAGCACGCCAAGGCAATGTAATGACGGTCATAATCCACCCTCAGACGCTCTGAACGGAAGTCCTCACAGCCCTCTGAAGAGTCAGTCGATCACAGGAGTATCGTTCATGGCATTTTGATCATGATATCCTGTTCAACCTTCGCTTCAAGCTCTATGGATACAGCTATCCACTTCGATCCTTCCGGGATTTATGGTCTATCTTGAACCGGAACAAACCTGTCTACAGAGCCCCGAACGCTGCATCGACCTCTAATAGCCCAAGACGACAGAGCTCAGAGCAGACCCTTATCCCTAGGCTCAGTTCTAATTAGGCCCTCCTGCACACATGTCATAATCAGCAGACCCTCTTTATTCCATGTCCTTTGAACGGCAATGCCCCTATTATCGCCGGCCCACGGACTCTCCATCTCGAACAACATCCACTCGTGGGGTCGAACGGCCTGCTGATTGTGAAAAAAGACGGTGTGACTGAGCGTCACCATCATGCCGACCTGCAAATTGTTCGTCTTGGTGCTCAGGGACACTTGCGCCAGTTGGTTCATTTCCAACTTCTCGGTTCGAATCATGTTCTCGAGGTGTGTTATTGCCTTTTCTTTCTCCGCCGCCCCGGCCCGGTCCAAGGCTGATACAGATCTCTTGATATAACTCTGGGGCGAAAACATGGGAAGACCATATATTCTTGTCGCGGTGTTGATGACATAGAAATCACTCAGATATGCCAGAACACCGAGGTTCTGCGAGAGAACAGACGCGCTTTGCACCGCGCTCGAGACAGCACGATTCGTGTCGGGATTTCTGCTGTGATTCTTGTTGTGGTCGATTCGCCGCTGTATGCGAATGAGACGCCTCAGCTTCTGTTTGGTTGGGTATAGCGCCGGCGTGGTTGGAAGGTCTACCACTTGAAACGG